TTTGAGAGGAAATCATTTTCTGTGCTTGAGTTTTATTATTCATAAACAGTCAGGGACTACATCAATAGATTCTGTGGGTTTAGCAGGAACTTAGTCTTACATTTTTCTTGCATAGTTTTCATTCTTTATTTGGATTTTGTCTGCCCGGTGTGCATGGCGGGAAAATTGGTCAAGAAAGGAAAAGAAGGGGGGAAGAGGACAGAGTGGGGCCCACTGGGTCCCTCAACATCCCTGTGTTGAATATGAAAATATATCATAGCATAATGTGTTCAGTATGCAAGCTTGAAGGAAACCATATGAAAAGATCCCAGACAAAGAGCCTTCTGTGTTCCAACTGACCCCCTCCTCCCACCCCCATCCTTCGTCTGCTTCAACTGTGAGAGAGAGAGAGAGAGAGAGGGAGAGAGAGAGAGAGAGGGAGAGAGAGGGAGAGAGACGGAGAGAGGGAGAGAGAGGAGAGGTAAAAGGGGGAGGTGTGTGTGCAGAGCTGTAGGAACTGAAAAGGGGCAGTACGCAGTCTTGCTGCCTCACACAGCCAGACCCACTAGAGTACAGGTGAGCAGCATGACTCAACCAGCACACACCAAACAGGAAGGAGTACTAAATCCTGGAATTTTATCTGTCGCTGTGAAAGTGTGATCGCTGCAGACTTTGTCACCTGCAGCCCATTATATTTATCTTTACAGGGTAAGACATTATCTTTGTTTGGAGAGAGAGAGAGAAAGAAGGAGAGAGGGGGTGTGCAGTGAACTGGAGCAGAAGAGGAGGGAAACTTTGAAATTCTTTGTTTGAGTAGATGACAAACATCTGTGGCGGCTGTTGTTTTCCCTCGGTGCAGGCTGCAGGCTTGCAGAGGGGGTTGGCTGGCTGCATTAGCACTGTGGTCACTGATATCCAAGCCTATTGTCCTGACTGTGTGGAGCCTGCTGTGTTGCCAGGTTATAGACTTGAACTACACTGTGTAACATTAGAGGGTGTATCCAATTAAAGACCTGGCTGGAGACTGTATTGACTTACATATATAAGTAATTGCTTCCTGTTAACACAACAGGTGAGGCCTATTAACTGCTTTACAGGGGGGCAACGCCAGGTTTTGTTCAGCCATACGTTACCATGTATATATCAGGAAATGATACCCCTTTAGTTTTGCTGTAACTGAAGATCCTTTGAAAGTGCAGAAAACAATTTTGTCAAATGTCTCGATGTGAACAGAATAACTGCAAACGTCAATAATATTCTGCAAATAATTCCTACAGCACTGATTGAACTTGCACACGTTTTACAATTTTAAAATGTGCTTTTACTTCCTTCCTTTCACGTCTAACAGTTTTCAGATTATGACTCTGATTGTTTTAGAAGGTTCCTCCCTCTTGGCACCGGATCATACACACCTACTTCAAGTATTTATCTTTGCCTCTTGAAGTTCTCCACCTGTGAGGGTAAAAGTAGGATGAGCTGCACATGAAGCAGACACTTCATTACAAGGTTTTCCCCTCCATGATTTATGAATGCACTCGCAGGTTTGCTAAAAGAGGAAAAGAGAAACGGTGAGAGAAGGAGACACTTGTGACTTTCGTTGGCGTCTGAGCCTTGCAATGTTTTAGATGTCAGTCATCAGCCAGCACAAGCCGGGGCATGTTGACTATCACAGCCTCCTGAGGAATTATGAACCAGGAATGCCAATTTTGAAACACTACTCAAAATTATTTTGTAGTGCTGGTGCAAGGGCGCTTGAATGGCTCTTTGTCTGAGAAAGAGAGAGAGAGAGAGAGAGAGAGAGAGAGAGAGAGAGAGAGAGAAAGCAAAGGGCCCTGCTAAAGCCTTTCCCATTTACAGCTGAATGATTTTTGCATGTCAGACTATAAAGGGACCAGGCAAATACAAGATATAGCAGACACATTGCAGCTCTGCCCTGAGGGGATTCCATCATAAAGGCTTGCTAGTCAGTGTCCTGACCAGATGCCTCATTATGAGCTTGGTAACTGATATACTTTAAAGTCGTACAGCTGGTGGAATGCACGCTCACCTGACATCAACACATCTCGCGTACCTCAACACATCTGCGCCCAGAGCAACTGATGATGTACAGATGCCATACCTGAGGTGAAAAATCATGCAAGTATATGAGTTATTAGGTGACTGACATGCTTTCTACACGTCGGCTATTGATGCAGATGTGTAATAAATGTACAAGACAAGAGCCACGAGGGACAAATGAATGATTGCAGTTTGTACGGCAGCCAGAGCCATTTCTTTTGTGCATTATCACTATGCAAGACATGCTGCAGAGAGCTGTGGTACAGATCTGCTGTCTGCGTACGAATCCATCTTGTGCTGACGATGTACAGGAACGCCGTGATTACACACTGAAGTGGCCTACGGGCCAGACTGTAAATGATATCCTTGGCTCTAATCATGGAGGTCAATAGGTGGCACAGGAAAAGTGTGCTGGGGTTGAGAGCTGAGTGGGACAGGTGGGCACTGTAAAATACTTTTTGAACTTGAAGGTAATTGAAGGGTAGAGGGCGGAAAGAGGAGAGATGACTTCAGGTCTTAGGTATGACAAGTAGATAGGATCAGTTGGAGCAGGGTAGATATCACAAGCCAGTTTGGATGAAACACAACACCCAAGCTTGAAATTAACAAACTGAGACGAAGGAAAAGAAAAAATAATAGATTGTGGCAGATGAAGATTTCAAGAGTCCACATGTTGGTGGTTTATTCTTCTCAGCCAGATTGATTATGCATCCCTGCTGATGTCAGTTTTTGAGTGTCCTACATCTGTTCTTTGTCCGGCAGTTCATAAATATTTTTAGCCTGGATCAAAGACAATGATTGAACCATGTTTTAGTCAATCTGGTACAGCGGTGTACCAGAGCACACCCTCGACATGTGTTCACCTCTGTTCTCAATGATTACAATAAGCTTGAAATATTGGAACAACAGAGACAGCTGTGAATAAAGAAAATAAGATAGAAACCATTGGGGTTCAAGGTGAAAACCAATCTAAAAAGACAAAATCAGTTTCCAGATGGGATCAGGGTTGATTTCAACATGGATGACACATCTGGGGGAATCAAAGGGCTGTTGTCTGAGTGTCTAAACAATACCGGCCTTCATATCTTCTCACTTGACACGATCACGCTAGTAAGCTAAACTGTGGAGGATTTTTGTTTCTTTTCTGCAGGGAGGTGGGGCAGTGTTTTGTTTGGGCTGATTGTGTTCAGGGGCCAATGAGCACTCCTCCTACAGACTGTCATGAGTCAGCTGTCATGTCAGAGAGCATCTCCACAAAACACAGTCTTCAAGAGACGCAACAACAAGTTCACAGTGCTTGCACACCTTGAGAAAAGACAAATGCGAGTGTGGTTGCTATGCCTCTGAGGAATCTGTGAAAAGACATTTAAAAATAATGATTATGTAGTTCTCTGCAAAGGACTTCCACTCCCGAGTGTTACAGTGGTGACTCACGAACAAAAACAAATGCAACTGTGATCGGCTTCAAGGAGAGGCAAGTCTGATCAAGGACAAGGACGTGCAAACACTGGTTTATCATTACAAACTTTTCCAGTGGGTCTTTTTTAGCTTTGAAGGGGGAACATGACGCTGATGATCTAATGAAATGCTTTCTCGGTTAAGAGTGAGGAATGCGATGGATGTTACTGAAGGACATTCAAATCTTTGTTTGTCTCTTCCCTTCATGCTGCATGGAAATATTTAATTCACACTTGCTCAGTGTGTTGTGTCACATCAAAGACCCAAACACTGAGATAAAGCACTTTTTTTTTTTTGGCAGGTTTAATCCAGATTTCCAACGTTCGAGCTTTAATGGATTGTGACCTTCCTTCCTTCTGTGGAGACATCACTGAGTTTTATCACGTTCAGACTTTTATAAAGGCATCTCCTCATTTCCTTCTCCACCCTTTTGGCCTGACTAAAGTTCAAAGTGAGAAAGCTGGTCTCCATCTTTAAAAGACAGAGAACTGGACTTTCATTGTCTCAAAAATGGACTTGAATTGAGATTTGTGGCTTTTGGAGGTAAACCAGCGTTCATTAAAAGTATAAAATGGGCCAGGCTGAGTATATTAAAATGCTCTTCAGACCACTTTTTCCAAATAACAGCCACCCATTGCAAGTTGTAAAAGCTGCGCATTCTCTGTCGGCACCAAGGTCGGGCTTGTGCACTGTTTTGAAGCCATCATGATAATACTTTGAGTCCCAGCGGGTAGAAACTCATGCCATTACACAAAGGGTGATGATGGACAATCGAGTAGGATCCTTGTACCAGCTGATTGCCAAAGCTGTGGGTAGATGTAACAACGAGCTTTTGTCTATGCAAATGTCACATTTAAATAACATAATTGAAGAATATTGATGGTTTTGACATTTGCATAACTGAATTAAACCTGCTCATTTCTCTATTTTGCAGGTGATCCTGGACAGAAAATGGACATGGAGACGGATTAGATGAAAAATATTGACCCCCCCCCCCCACTCAGTCAATCCTTTTTTTTAGTTCACCAAACTAAAACATATTGTTTTAAAAACTGGCTGAACGATCAGAACACAGACATCAAGTCTTTTTTACAAGGAGCAAAACAAACAAACCAAAACCAATTCTGAATAGAGGAACTGCTGACCGCAGAATAACTGGATCCATGACAGATACTTAGTTCTAGCATGCTGATGCATTTCAGTATTTATCACAACTATCACCAAAAGAAATAGTTGACTTTTTTCCCTCTCAACTGTGGTTTTGTGAATAAAAAAAAAAAAAAAGAAAGAAATTGATTATGCTGTCTTCAGATGCTGTATCTGGCATGTATGAGAAATAACACAGTACACTTGAATAAAGCAGCTCGAACTCAATGCATTGGAGCTCTGAATACAAACCAGTCTCTGGAATGACCTTTCCAGAGTGAAATGTTATTCCTCACATGCACCTAACAGCAGGAAGCCGCCATATACACAGTTCCCCTTCACGTCACTGTAGAGTTATGATCTCCGAGATAAAGGGCAGATCCTTTTCTCTCAGAGAAAAATAATCTGCTGGCTAGAGATTGGGATGCAGACAAAAAGCATGTTTTGGTCACCAAAATAGCAGAGGAGGACGAGAAAAGTCTGGGAGAGAAAAAAAAAAGGAGTATTAGAGAGATGCAAATAGAGAAGACTGGACTGTTTCTCATCTCTCTTTGCCAGATTTGTAGCAGAGCACAACAAACTTGTGCAATTTTTTTTTTGTGGCAGTTGTCCATGGGAACTCATCCAAGGCACACTGGAGCTGACCCTCCTGGGAGGTCCTCTTAGATAGCAAACAATACTTAATGAAGACCAAAGTACGAGCGCACTTCTTCCGTCAAATCTCAGCTGACTACAAAACAACATTTGGAAGGATTATTGCTGAAAGTGGAGACATGACCGGAATCCACGACCTGGAAAGCTGAGCTACTCCTTTCGTTGTCCTCTTTTGTGTATGTGTGTTTTCTTGTATCTCCAAACGTATTCCCTGCCTGCCAGTAAGGAGTAAAACTTCCATCTCCCAACTGGACCGGCGGTTTCATCTTATCAGGAGAGACGATTGAGCCGACTGGAACGAAACAGTCACAGTTACCCCTGCTGAGGACTTTTGTTTACGCTGCAGCAGAAGCATTTAACTGTGGGTAGCGATGGAGATGGAGAAGGGACATATGTCTGTCAGGAGAGGGGTGAGCTGGAGTCCAGGAGGAATGAGAAAACCTCTCCAGGCAACGCAAGACATGCATACTCCTGGGACAGAGTGCAATGCATCATGGGGGAAGACAGGATTCAACAAAGAACAGATGAGCCGGAAAACAAGTAAGTGTTTGTTTATCTGGCATTTTTTGTCCTTATTTGGGAAGCCCAAGCAGCAGCGTGAAAGCATTGTGTTACTCTGTTACTTCCTAATGCAGAAATGTAGTTGTAAATACATTTCCAGTGGTTTGTTTGCAGTGCAGCCTTAATGATACGGTATGGCTTGTAGTATATCATCATATCAGCAAACCTACAGCTGAGTGGACTAGACAGAAAATAGAGAAAACAACTCTGCCTCATCAGCGCAACTTGACACAGTGAAATGCTCAATGAAACATGTGTTTCCATGCTGTAAAAATACATGCTGACCTAACAGCAATGAAAATGCAATCATGCATCACAGCTAAAGGGCAGTCTTCACATAAACATAGCCACCGACAACAATGAGTTAACTTGCGGGAAAAGCTGTCTGGAAACTTCTTTAGACTTTTCACAGCTGTTATCTCTCAAAGAAGGAAAACACAGATGAGTTAACATTCCCTAATAGCACCATGACATTATGTTGTTAAATAGCAATATTAACAAACAACAAAACAATGGTCAACTGGGGGGATAATTACCTCTGGTCTGTGACAAGTTTGTCAGATGCAGTATTCAAAGAGAGTCAAAGGACATTGTGCTGCGGGGAAGGAAAACAGAAAGGTCACAGCCATCAAATAACTGTTATGTAGTCAAGGCCCTGATAAACATCTATAGACTCTGCGCTTCCAGCACTGTTCCCATCACTCATTACTCACTAATTAGTTTCCTCAAATGGAACACAAATCACTAAAAACAACAGAAAAGCACTGATAAAAGTCGAGTACACCTCCGCAGAGACCTTTCATAATGCACAAAAGTAACAATATGAGCAGCAGAGCTTGGTTTCAACCTATGGGCTGGGGTTGTATTTCCCCCATGGGATCCACCAGGAGTTGAGGTCAAATTCAGTCTGGTAAGATCCCAGGACCTCCGTTAATCCTTGTCTTTCCATACCGCTTCACACATCACCCACGGGGGCTGGTGCTGTCATCCCGCTCACCCCACAGCCATCGCCCAGAGAAAGATAACATCCGACAGGGTAATCTGACCTTTGATACACAAATGCAGGGTTGGCCCCCTGACTTAAATCCTCCCGCTGTGGGGGAGTTTCCCCGTCTGCTCTCACCCACGCAGGGGACCGAGGGCAGAAGGATGAGGTAGAGAAAGTTAGAGAAAAAGGGGGGGGGGGGGGGGGTGGACAAAGTGATGTGGCGGCTCTTGCATCATTGCTGAGGGCTGAGTTTTGTCTCTGTTGGAGGACAGGAAATTCCTATCCTGCCCTTGCAGGTTGTAGCTCAGGGCCCAGAGGGTTCAAAGAAGGCAGACATTCGGTTGGAGAGAGTGCGCGGTTAAGACACATGGTGATATCCAGACAGACACGGAGGGCAGAAGAGGTCAGCTGCTGGAGCTCTGGTGTCCCAGTGGTCTAATCCATACACACATAAGCTGGAGTATCTCTGGGTTCACTTTCCACTTCAAAGACTGCAACAAGGGTCAGACACTTCCCCACCATCACAGGACATTAGACAGAGATAAGAAGCTCATGACTTGCCATTGACTGGACACCTCTCCAGAACTGTCAAAACAAAGTGTGGTCTGCGTGCAACTGTGTGCAACATCAATACTCTCAACAGAAGCTCTGAGCTCTTCTCTCAGAGGCACAACTCAGTTTTTATAATTAGTGGAAACCCTGTGGAGGTGGTGGTATAACACAGATTTGAAAAAGTGAAATAGAGCTGGAGGCTGGATGACAGACAGCACAGCCTCCAGCTACAGACCCCCTCCCTCCCTCCTTCCCTCCCTGCCTGCCTGCCTGCCTGCCTGCCTGCCTGTCTGTCTGTCTGTCTGTCTGTCCTTCTGTGTGCTGGAGTGCAGAGAAAAAGAAATCCGATCCTGTGTCTCGCTACAGAAAGGGGGTGTGAAGCTATCAGACGCAGTTAAATTGAAAACTCCTCTGGAAGTACTACAAAACAGCGGAGCTCTGAGTTTTGACATGAAAAAGGTAAGAGATTAGGCTCTAAAGTGAATCCAGCGAGATAAATCAAACTTTCAGTCAACTTTTTAACTTTACTACATTAGCCTCGAATTAAAACTGAGGAGCAATTCATGCTTGCCTGTTTTGTGAAAAAATGCGACTTGTTGGTAGCAGTATGTTTTTGTAACAGCAGACATCAGCTACCGCTCATAAACTTTAGGTTATTTTTTCCCTCACAGCTGAAAAAGTTGTAAACTACTTCTGCCTTGATCTGTAATCTGTAATCTGCATTCTTGCAATCTTAATTTAGAAATAACACAAATTCATTTCTTTAAATCAGATTTATTTCCATTTATTGGTTGCTTATTAACATCTCCATGAAATGGCTAAGTGGCTGCTGTTGTTTAATCAGATTATAATGAAGGTTTTCTACAAATTAAATCAAATGAACCGAAAAACTTGGAGAAAAAAGATAAAAGTCTAAATTTCATAAAGAGCGTCACGTGTATTTTGGTCATGGTATTAATCACTGACGGGATTTGCACCTGCATGTTACTTGATAACCAGTCTGGTTCCCACTAGAGGTAGATGTATACAGTGAGGACCTTTCATTTCAACCCTCATTTCCCTGGTATATTCAGGTAGTATGAATTATATAAATAGTAAATGGCAAATAAAAGCTGTTATTTGAACCTGTGGAGGTATTTCCACTCTTATTGACAACCTTGATAAAAGCCTCTGGGTATACCTGTGTGACAGGGTTGGTTCACGTCTCTGCTGCTGCTGTCTATAAAAGAAAGTGATTTATGCTCATGTCAATAGCACTGAGAGAGGTGTTTGTTTAAAAGGTTGTGTGATAATGCTTTTATCCTTGTTACGCTGCTGTCACAAATATGTAATGTGCTTGATGTATCTCCCTTTTATAATGTCACGTTCTGTCTTTCCTCTGTCAGTGTCAGGTTGATTGATGGTATAGTGGAAAATTACACTGATGCATTTCCCTGCAGACATAACAGTCATCGTCAAAGGGTATCATTTTGTGCTTGTAAATGCAATGCAAATGTTTAAAATCCAAACAGGCCCCATAGTTCCTCTTTATTTATTCAAACAATAGGGTAAAAATTAGATAATAAACATGTGCTTTTGAACTTCAGATCGTTTATGTAAAAGAAACCCTACAAAGAGTTAATTAAATTACTGTGAGGGCAGACACAAAAAAGTCTGTAAAATCAATGACAGATGCATAATATTCCTTTTACTGGGGAACTGATCATGTTAGCTTTATACTCTGCCAGGAAAAAGTGCATGCAGAATGAGTTATACAGGACAGCTTTACAAGTGATTGATTTATGCATAATTATTGTGATTGGCACATGATTACATCAAATAATGTAGCTGTCTGGATCCGTCACCTTATTAAATGAATAAAGAGTCATGACCGTGCCAGCTGTCTGAGAAACCGACTGGAGGGATTTGAAATATCCTCCACTAGTCAGTTACTCAAATTAGATGAATAATCTACACTGGGTTTTTCTCTTTTAAAATGTCTATGACTTCAGGTTTTTATTCTGTTAAAAATAAAAAAGGCAAAGATGCAGCTTTAATTTTCCTCTGCAGTGATGCATTTGCTATATTTAAGATGGGAACACTTGATTGTATAGTATGTTTATAGACAGCAGTCGAAAGATGTCATTTCTGGAAGCTGTAGATTGTAAAAATGGTCTATTAAGGGTTTGAGCTGCAGTATTGCACAAATTAACTACAGAGAGAAACCAAAGGCATGTTGGACGCTCAGGCAGGGAGTTTTCTCAGCGGTGGAGGAATGCTCAGGGAGGGACTACTGCAGATGGCAGAGGAAATAGCTCCACTGCCTGGAATGGAGCTCTTAAGCTTAGAAAACAAACTGTCAGTTTTAACATAGACATATTTTAGCTCTTAATTTAAAAACAGTCAGCAAAACTGGAGTGTAAGTCACTGATCTTTCTTCTTTTTCTTTTTTTTTGGTACTATAGCAGACAATGACCCAGATCTTTTTATTAACTTAAGCCACTAAGCTTTTATGTCTTTCTCATTAAATTGTTTATATGAAATGTTTCTCTGCCTACGTCTGTTGGTTCTTTGTCTACAGCCACGCTCTGCTGAGTCAAGTGTCCTCAACGCTGTATTTTTCTCGCTTGATTGGTTAGAATCAAAAGTACTGCAAAGAACAATAAAAACCATATGGTGCAGAAACCATTATGTGGGTTTTAAAGAGAATATTCAATCCCAGACTTGTTAAAAATTTGTCCTTGCTGGTTCCCTCTATTTGTACATAAAAGCGATGTGGTGAGCTTTAATTAGATGTTGAGGGAGTGGTATTTGTTTGAATAGTAGATGTAAGTCTCCCAAAGTTAGGGTCCCTTTGATCATCAATCAAACATCTCTGGTATGAAAAGAAAAAAAACAAAATCCCTTGTTTCTCCCACTGATCAGGCTGTCCTCTCTCTCTCTCTCTCTCTCTCTCTCCATCTCTCCATCTCTCTCACTCCAGATCTGACCCGGAGTGCCAGCTTATCAGAGAAGGAGCTCAAAGAGGCCCGAGTCAGAAGTCAGATCATCGCTGCTCAGCTCACCATCCCTTCCAACTCCAGCTCCAGAGGCGTGCAGCTCTTCAACCGCCGCAAGCAGAGAGTCAACGCCTTCACACTCGAAAGCTGTGGAGAGGGGTCAGAGGAGGACAGAGCGGAGAATGTGAGAACCGACCCCTCGTCTAAGAAGTTAACATGGGCAGAGAGGAGCAGTGAGGAAAAAGACAGGAATCTCAACTTAAAGAATAGCTCTACCAAGCCACTGTTCTCACCACCACCACCTGTAAGGGTACCTGCAGTAGGTGATATCATGGAGGACCCAGGTAAAGATTTCCACAAAGAGGAGGACATGGAGGACAGTGTTATCCAAGAGAGACATTTCCTCCCTGTCAAGGAAGAGCAGGAGGAAGAGGAAGAGGCAAGAGATAAAATCCATGAGGACAAAGTCAAGGATGAGATTTCCCCTGGAAGTGATAGTACTGATCCAGTCGTGATGGGACATGTTGAGGGGGAAGTAGAGATAAATGGGGGCCACACAGGGCCAGCTCCCCAGGGACTGCTTCTTAATGGCTGCCACAGTGCCTCTGGACCTGAGAGGGCGTCTGTGTCCACATCCAAGCAGACAAGCGCCATCATCAACAGAACTGCCAGGCCGTTTTTCTCACCGCCGACGGTGCAGTCTCCAGACGCAGTCAGTCCTGTCATGGACATCCCCCCTCCTCCTTCTTACACCACTCCTCCTCTCCCTGCTTTCACAGCTCCCCAACCTGTGGTGTTCTCGCCTCCACCTCCGCCTCCATCGTATCCCACACCTCCTCTACCGGCCTTCACAAACCAACCGCCGCAGGTCTACTACTCCAGTCCACCTCCGATGTCTCCTGTGATGTCGCCTTCCTCCCCTCCACCGTCCCAGTTTCCTGCTTCTTCCGGATCTCATTACCCATCCATGCCTCATTACGGCCCTCCCACAGCACCAAAGCCTTCCACCTTTGTTCCTCAGCCCTCCGGAGAGAGGAAGCCAATAACACAGATCAAAACAGGAATACTTGAGGAGGGGGCTGCCGCTGCCAGGAGGGCAAGTAGAAAATCAATGTTCACATTCAAAGAGAAGCCGGTGGTAGCTCCGAACCCTGAGTTGCTCTCTCTGGTGCAAGGGGTGGATGAAAGGAAGAAACACGGACACAGATCTGTGCCTGAGCCAACATCTGAGGAAGAGTTACTGGCTCTGGGTGCAGAGGCCTCCAACTTCCTCGCCGAGGAAGAGAACAGGGCAGAGGAGGCTAAAGCTCCAGAGTGGGCCTCCTGCCTTAAGAGCTCCAGGACCCGACCGAGGTCAGAGCACAGGCCAGAACAGACCCTTTCCAATGTTTCGGGGAGGGGTGCTGAGCTGTTTGCCAAGCGTCAATCCAGGATGGAGAAATATGTTGTTGAGAATCAGAGTGCAGGACAAATGAGGTCTCCTTCTCCCACTATGTCTCTGCCACCATCTTGGGTTTACCCATCCAACATGCCCGGCAGGGTCAAGGCCATTGCTAAAAACTCTGACATGAGCACTCAGCTTTCACAAAACCTAAAGGCCCAACAAGCAGTCAAGCAAAAACCGAGGCAAAAAGCTCCAGCACCACAGCCAGTTCCAGAGCCGACTCCTTTAGAGAATGGATGCTCCAAGATAGAGATGGACCTATCGAGGCACCGGCCCTACCAGCTCAGCTCATCCCTCTTCACCTTTAACCCAGTCAAGGACCCCATGAGTACGCTACCCAGAGGAGCACCACAGGCCAAGAACCTGATCTCCACCCAAACCTTCCCCAGACAGACTTCCTTACCCAACAACACTCCCTCTCACTTCAGTGCCCAGCGAATGTCTCCTCAGGTACCTCTCAGCCCCACAGGAGGAGCAGAATATCTGTCTAATCCAGCGTCTGGGCAGCCAAGGATCAGTTCTCCCATGCCTGCCTTTTCTCCAGAGCGAGTGTCCTCTCCCCGGTCGGGAGTCCAGGCACCAAGGCCCACGTTTTCTGCCAAGAAGGCAGGGATTGCGCCACAGGTGTGGAGACCCTCTCTGTTTCATTTTTAGAGGATTTGTTTACATCAGAGGGATTGGATCTTTTGTAGAAATTACACACATGCTAGTCTTAGAAAGCTTAAAATTTACAATTTACTGCACTTTTTACTTAAACTTGTGCCTTCTTCTTGTGCCTCCTCTTTCTTTGTACTGTCTCCTGCATTGTAGATACATAATAGAGTGGAATATTTTTGTGTGTGAAATGTTAAAATTCTGAAATATATCAAAAAGCAATTGCTCTATACTACAAGATACATATGCTACAATTATTATAAGTCCAGACATTGTTAATTGTCAAGTATTCACACAGTATAATCTATATCTTCCAAAATTACACTGAATTGCACTGAATCTCTATTTGTTTATTTTCCACATGAAGAAACACCCAGAAAGCAAAAAAAAAACTCAGTTAAAATAAAAATGTGCCTTGACGTGATCAGATAAGTTGCCATATCCAAAGCCGCTATGCACATCAGCTCTCAAAAACTTCCATTTTCACTGCATTTTAAAATATAATGAGAAACAACCTCGCACTTTTTCCACTTTGTCTCCAAGTTCTGTGGGCACCAGGGTGATGCTGCTTCACAAAGCACTTTAACAGATGGTCTGGCATCTGCTTTATGATCTATGATTTGAAATTTAATGCTGCTCACTGACATGAGAGTTACAGCAAGAGAGCTCCTTTTATGTCTTTATGTCTTCAGGATAATATACTCTGTTTTTCCAGCATTTTCTACCTAAATACTGTAGACTATGCAGTCGTGCACTCGGATTCCTTGATGTTTCAGATTGGCAGGCTGCATACTAATTTGCATCATGGATCTACATATCAATTGTTTATGTGACTTAAAGCAGTAATTCCAGAAGTATTCAGCCATCAGTCACTGTTGTTTTAGACGACACAGTTCATGCATGTTTCATTTCATAAACCTTGATTTACTGCTCTCTTCTGCTATTACCTTCTCTGTTACGAGTGATTTTTCCTGTGTTAAAGTGAATCTTTCCTTCTCTGATTAAAGCTTTATGCTAACACTCTACTGTGACCTCTTTCTCCTTTTTCTTAATTTCAACTCCACTGACTTCTTTCAACCATTTAATTTCGCTATTAAATGTTTGCTATTTCACTTTCCTGCCTTTCTTGCAATCACTGCAAACACTTGAATATCCTAATAAATGTAATGCCTCCGTTTAGTACACAGATTTGCAAAAGGAGGCAGGTCTCCTTTTGAAACACATATGTGACATTTAAAGTTCAAAGAAAATTATTTCTGCTTGACACTGGAAGGTATTTTACACTTTCATTAGAATCTGGGTAATTTGTGTTTGTGTGAAGACCTACCCTTCAGTCATGTTTCGTCTTCAGGGGCTCAGACATACCGACAAATGATATGACCCTTGACCTGGGCCTTCTGTCTTCCACAGATGCCCTGAACTTTTAAAACATGACCACTGGCATTCATCTTAAAAGACCGTAACTTCTCAGGATACTGATCTCAGCTGTTCAGTCTATAACTCTATACTGTCTTCATATTATTATCCCGAGGAGAGACAGTTAGTTCTTAATTAGTATGTGCATAACATGGAATGCCACCCTTGCTTCACTTGAGTAACTTCATATCCCTGTAAAGGTTAACCACCTTAGAAAAGCCATATGACAGTAACCTGAGAGAGACACTAAAGACTGGGCCTATGCATACTGGTGGCCTGGCTTATTGAAGAAACACACACAGGAGAAGCAAATACACTCAGATGACCTGACTGCCACTCGGGCTCAGACTGTTGTCAGACTATTCTATCAAAACAAATTCACTTAAGAGCTATTATTAAAATTGATCTTAAGGAATAGGTTTGTGGAGTTTCACAGAAAAACGTCTATTTATTGTGAGTTTATTCAGAGCATCAACATTGTCATGAAACTTAGTATTTAAATAATAAGGACATATAATCATAAAGTTGTACAGACATTAATGACTCTTACGGTGCATGTTTGTGTTATAGCTGTGTATGCAAGTTTTCCAGAGTCTAAAAACATTATTTGTCCTTGCCAACAGACACCAAAGGACTCCCCCACTGTTGAAACTTCCAGTGAGACTCCTACAGCTACTAGGACGCCCAGTCTCATCAGACGTTTCAGCAGCCCAGAGGGTCCCTCCACTGGAACCTGGACTCCCAGCCTCCAAACTAATCGTCCCTCCACCACCGCCTCGAGCTCCTACCGCTCAGTCACTTCCCCTGTCTCCTCTCCTAGGGGAACAAGATGCCAATCCCCTATGGCCAATCAAAATATCCAGTTTTCCAATGTTACCTCCACTACAACATCCAGACCCTTCCAGACATCTACATTCACCTCTCCACGCTCGCCTCCTTGGGGTTCGAGATGTCAGTCCCCAATGGTAAGCCAGAATACTTCCACTGTTGTCTCCACTTCCACATCCAGACCCTCCCAAAGCGCCACAGCCACTTCCCCACACTCTCCTCCTTGGGGCTCAAGATGCCAGTCCCCGATGGTGAGCCAGTCTGTCTCCACTTCCACATCCAGACCTTCCCAAACACCTACAGCCACATATCCTGTCTCTCCTCCTTGGGGGTCACGTTCCCAGTCTCCTGCCCTCTCTCAGACCAGTTTATCATTCCCTGCCACTAAACCTCTGTACGCATCCTCTGCCACCTCTCCTATTTCGCCAACCAAAGACAGTCGCTGCATGTCCCCCACTGTTAATAACATAGACTCGAAAGCCAACCATCGCCTCCTGGCGAAGAACATCATTAATGCAGCAAAACGTAAAAACAGCCCCTCCCCTGGTGCACTGAGCGGCCACAGCCTCCCCATCTCACCTCTGGGAAATTCTGGCTACGACTGTCACAAACCACCCATCAGCCCATTCCAGTTGCGGGCACTAGGCGCCCAGTCGCCTACCTTCACCAGCCCCCCACCCACCCCAACACAGAGGATCTGCTCCCCTGCGAGGCTGTACAACACTCGCTCCCTCACCGACTCTGATGCCTCTGTTGAATCTGAAGACTCGGGCCTCCGATCGCCTGGCCTGCACTCCTACAACACCTGTCCCCGCGGGTGGGGCGGTAGCCTTAGGGTGAAGAGAAGCACTGTCTCCACTGACCTGTGAGGGAGAGATTCACTGAATATCAATTAAAACATCATTTCAGTTTTCATAAACTTTTGTGCCATTGGATCAACCGATAAAAGATTTTCTGATGAAGTTTCATCAGACTAATGTTAGGCAAGTTACCTACTTTGATTGCCCGTTCTGGACAATGGTAAATATTTTATCAAGGTAGTATTAATATTTTATATGACTCACATTCATAGTGCGGACTGACAAGAACAAGCTTTTGACATAACGCAGTTGCTGTGGCTTGTACGCTTCTTAAATACCAAAAAGTGCAAAGACTCAAAATAACCAAAGATATTTGAATTCACTCTAAATGAATGTTATGCTTTTTGCATCTTTACAACAAACATACCTTCACAGTCACTATTACAGTTAAATCATGTTAAAGTAAAGGAGTACTGGTATTGGTTTTGAATGTTATTAATGAGTTATCTTTATATTTGCTGGTCTTATGCAAGTGGGAAGAGACTTAAAGATTTAAGGCATAGAAGGGACACACAAAGTGAAAATTGTGTAAATACATATCTTGTTGGACTATACAGTACTTAGGTTGAGGCATTCTCCTTGTTCTGTATTAATAATGGATGAAATTGAACTACACAGTGAATTCATAATGAATATTGCTTTTGACAACACTAGGTTAAATGAGTTTCCATTATTTTTCCATGACAAAAACACAGTGGTAGATAGGACACATGGTATTCACATTTATCATACATGGTCTAAGTATTCACCACAGTTTATTATCCATTTTAATTAATGGAAAATAAATAATATGCATAATTATCACAGTGCAATAATCAATTTAACACAATATATATACAGTATGTTGCTTTATGTACTGCATTTGCTGAAATAAATGTAAGGTTTACAGACAGATTGACAAAGAGTGACAGAAAAGAAAAGGCAGTGTTGAGTGTGAAGAGTTATGTAAGGGTCAGATGGGGCATAGACGCACCTGTTCAATTAAACACTGTTTCCATGTTTCAGGAAAAAAATTCTAAGGTTTTTTAGCTAATTTTTAATTTGATGATGTTATCTGTTAGCAAAATGAATGGCATATTGATTGTAATAATCATTTTGGAGATGTGTCTATCCCTAGCTTTGTTGCTTTTGCACATCACAAGTCATTTTTTCATATCAGTAATGTCTTTAATGAGGAACAGATTAATCTATTTTGTGCCTGTACTTAGTACAAAGTGCCTGTTTCAGTGAGGGTTAGAAGGAAAGTTGTAAGTTACACAAGTGGAGAAGGTACAACAAGATGTTATTGTTAAACTTCCATGGGAAAAGGGTGAGAAGAATGTTGTATGTTGTGAAATATTATATTAGTGTTTGTGAAGAAAGGGTCTGTGGAAAGATATGTATTTTAAATACATATGAAAGTCTAATGTACATTATCTTTAACTTCTGAAGTTTTTATACACGATTTGCACTTCTATTCATTCCATTTCAGCAGCTAAGTTCACATTGTTTAAAACTTGATTTGCTCAAACAGGTGTCATTCACAATAAAACCAGCAGAGAAATATCCTACTGTAAAAATCAGAACATTCCTGCACAATGCCACATGTTGATATGATGGTGGCAAATAGCTTTAAACCTGACTGATGCTGACTTTAGACCACAGCTAGCTCTCTGTTTCAACTGTGGGAAAACTGAAAGCCATTTTACACCATTCCCATCTTGCCCAGTCCTGCACCAGCACACACAACAGATCATCCCTTCATTCCCTGGCATGCAGGCCAAAAGCATCAGCACATTTCTAAATATTCAGTTTGTCTCTGGAGTGACAGGGACACCTGCTACATGGTGACCTGGCTCCTGCAGCAGGATTAAGCCTATCACTGTCGTGGATTGGTTTCAACCTGCTTCACCTCTGGACAGACCAAAAACTGCCAGCATCCAAACACAGAGAGGAATCATTACAGTTTTGAGTTTTTGTTCTTTTGTTCTGTGACTGCATTCCTGCATGCTTTCATTACAGCTCATGTTGTATTTCATAACTGTATGATCTCTGAAAATGAATGCAAAATAAAAAGTGATGACACACCATTTTAAATAATTCATAGTTTGTCAGTTGTTTCATTATTTTAATTTTATTATTTCACTTAATACCTAAAAAATAAATAAATTTAACACCATGAACTCAAAACAGTGATAAAGCTGCAATGAATGTAAGCTTGAGTAGTAATTTCCCCCTATTTTTTTAATATACCAAAATTAAATATCGGGGAGTAAGTCATTGGATGCACAACAATCCATATGCAAGAGGATCCACGCATTTATATTGTCAAATTAGTCTCTTTATTATTTAATTAATTTATCCTTTATTGTACACTTGGAGGATAAAGCTATTGAATTGAGGACCATAGTAATTCTGTGCAGTGCTACCTAAACATGGATTAATGTTTCATCCTTACATAACCCCTTACGGCACTTGAACAGCCCTTCCATTAAAACTGTCTGACAATATAGTTAAAAGTTTTTGATGCAGTTTGATAGACCTAGTTGAAATGAGGTGTTATGAAATGACAATTTTAAGTCATACAAACAAAAAACTAACAAATGCTTACAAGTTGTTTATAGCCCAGAGTAATGACAGGCATAACCACAGCATTGGAAGACTTATTTCTTTGGTTTTAGGTCTAGTGCTGAGCTCTATTGTCATTGAAATATACTACATATTTGTGGTGATAGCTATTAGACTGAAATGCCCCAGACAGCAACTCCTCGGGGTAAAAAAAAGAGACCAGTCGCATTCATCATAGGTTCATAGACTGCCATCTGTAGGGCTCCAGATAGAAGTTCAAATGAACGGATTCTGTGAATGCAACAGTTTCCCAAAAGTTTATATATTCCACCATGGCCTCTGTTTTCTTTTCAATCATATCAATCATATTACCTCAAAATGAGGTAATCTCTCTTGCAAGAAAATTATCAAAATTTATCAAAGTAAGAATGAATGTCATTCCTAATAGACCATGCTCACTGCAGACATTTTAACATGCCATAGGAGGAAAGCACAGGTGAAATTAATTACAGTAATGAATAATAGCTGCATTAAATTTAGTTGTTCCAGCCAGGCATTGCTATTATGCATGCTTGCATGGTTACCAAAGCCATCATTAATGATATTATTTACACCTGTGTTTTACTGCAATGACAAGTCAGAACGTGTGTTGTAATAAAAGCCAATACTCTCCCTGTGTCAGTGCCTATATTAATCATATCTGCAGTGACCTTCATTTTCAGTCACAATGTGGTGAGCATCACCACAAACCTGTATGCACACTTATTATATCCTATGATTGATATTATGGCACAGCAGCTGTGTTGAAAAGAAGGTAATATCCAAGTGTTAGATATCACACATATCATTCAACTCAAAAAGTGAAAGGCTTGCAAGAGAACTGCAAATAAGGTGTCATACAGTGAGCAGCCACTCAATAGGCTTGGGAGAGACACATAAACACAAACAGAACAGTTTCTCCTTCACAACTCTTCTCATTTTGTTTTTGCACATTTGCATTGTTAAGTATAAAGTAGACCATAAAATAAACAATAGTGTTTGTTCTATTGTTTAATATAACAAATTTACTATGGATGGGGACATTAACAAAAACGTAGTCTGTGAACCATGTAATTAAAAATAATGTTGATCTTTATTCCTCAGTTTTGCATTAATTTAATTGTGAACCTTGGAGGTTCCTGCTGCACCTGTGCATCTATTGACCTTAATGTAGCACACTACCCTCTCTGTGCTCAATCTAGGAGAGTAAAATTAATATAATTTATTCCTCGCTCCTTTTGTTGACCCAGTGAGGTGAAGACCCTCACTGAGACACAAGATGCCGCTCTTGAGGTGAAAAGGGCGAAAGGCAGCGCAGTGGTTTCCTCGTTTGACAGCAGGGCTTGTTTTACAGCACAAAACAACAAGGATGAAGATTTCAAGCGACGATGCAGCAACAGAGATAATGGAGGAGACATTTAGCTGAAAGCTCCTGACTTTATCTCTTCATCTACCGGTGTGCGCTACGAAATTAACGCCAGGCAACTTGAATATCGACTGAACTGCAGATGAATGCCTGTGCCTTAAGTGCCCCTTGATTTGTTGTTGTTAGCTGCTAATGCTAACCAGATAAGTTGAGAGCTAGCTGGCCTAGCAAGCTAATGGGTAAAGCCAGGAAAAGATAATTAGCCGCATATGTTTGGTTTACTTAGTGCTGTTCGGCAAATAAACTCGGCGCTGTTTAGCTAATGGAGCCGGCTACCCGTGGCTTCAGTAGTTCACGAACTGCAGCTTTGGCTAAGCTTTTGAAGTACCAGTTGTAGTAGTTAGTAACCTAGCTTACCCGTTAGCCACCACTACCCTTGGAAGAATGAGTAGAAAACACCATCATTTAAAAGGAGCAGAAGTCAGCTGCTGTGTGAAATACTTCTTATTTGGATTCAACATTATATTCTGGGTAAGTAAATGCAGTTTTTGTTTGGTTTGCCTCGTTCTCATAAGAGAAGTGACGTTAATGTGGCTAACTCAAAGTATAATGAAGTGTTATAACAAATGGGGTTAGCACAAATTGAACTTAAATTATCCTTTAGGTTTCACTATTATCGTCATTACTTAAGTTAGTTGAGTTAACTAGAAAAGTAGTTTTCTTCCTGCCATGTGTTGTTATTGGTTTGGGTTGTTGTTTATGTGTGGTAACTGGCATAACAGATTAGCTTGATTGACGTAGAGTGAGACACATTGATTTTTACTGCAGGACAGTAGATAGATGTGCGGGAAGTCTTTAAAACTAGCTCAAAAGTTGTTGCCATGACTTGAAATACTATATTTAATATCTTAAAGCAGACCACTACCTTTACTATGTCTTTTACTGTGGGTAGTTGAAACGTTTCCCTTCATTAAGCTTATGAAATGAACAGCTGGCTAATAGTGACGAGTAAATCACATATACATAACCGACCTCTTTAGATACTTTACTGGCTGATTAACGTTTCTAGAAGAGTGATTGTTTGATAATGGGTTAGGGTGGTTGGTGGCGTGGACAAATTGTAAGTATTCAGGGACCAAAGCTGGGCAGATGCTGGTTCTCCTCCCTGCTTTGACCTGGCAGTGAGCAGTGATATCATTGTGTTTGAGTTTGAGAAATAACTTGAGACTCATCTGTATTGTTAGGCCAGTGGCAACTGAGCCCATATCTCCTTTACAATGCCCAACCCCTCTATCTTTATCCCCCCTGAGTCTGAAAAGTTCCTCTGTTCAGTCTCCCTCACCCCTCCCTCCTCACCCGTCTGCACTGCCTCTGTGCGGCTGGTGTCGTACAATGTCTGTGGGTGAAGGAATGGTGTGTATGTGTGCTGCCTCCAGAAGGTCTCCCCACACACTGTTTGAGCCACACGGGCCTGAATACCACCCAGCCCTCCTCTTTTCAAGCACCCTTTTCACTCCCTCCACGACTATAGTGCCTGGTCTCTGTGGGACAGCATTGTTTTTCTGCACTCACACACCCACAAACGTACAAAGAGGGATGGTGAGAACAAAGACTGGGGGGAGCACCGGGTGTGATTCTGTGTTTTCTCCCCTCATATGCTTGTTCTCTAGCACTCATTAGGCACATGGGATACACATGCAACTGACTCTCTTCTTAATCATCCTCCTTTCATCCCCACCTCCTCATTCCTCCCCCTTCATAACGTAGGAGCATTACACCATACCTGAGTCTTGTCAGGTAATATGAACTGCTAAACATTCTTTCATTCGTTTCTTTTATTGAAAATGCCCAGATACATTTTGCAATTTTCCTGACAATGAAAAGTTTTCTGTAATTCAATTGGACTGAGCTATCAACCAGGAAATATTGAGTCATAGGGCTGTAGTGTTGTGTCTGACTCATATTGTGTTCTTTCAGACTGTTTGACACTTGGGCCAAGCTAAAAGTCTTGTGTCTGAGCTCTCTGTGAAACTGTGGAACAAGTTCCAGCTCGCTGGCTGTTTCCGTTAATAATCACCAGAAGATGTTCTCCTCTTGTCTGTGTTCTGCGAAACTGGATTTGACAGACAAGCCAGCGCGTTGCCGAAATACAGAGAGATGGGGTTTATTCTCCACAAATCAGCCCATTTGTCTTTCCCATAGTGATCTTGTCAGGCTTGAAAATGCTGCCTAAATTGAGACAGAATGCTTGTAAGACCCTAAATATTTTGAACAAAATAGAGCAATAAAACCCAGTGCTTTTCTTCTGTGTGAATTCTTCCAGCGCCCCGGCTCTCTGTTGACAGCCAGGCATTCTCACCCAAGAACAACACACCTTCTCTTGTCCTTAGAATAGACACATTCTTCACATCCACTTAATTAATCACATTTTCTGCCTGAGCTGCTGAAATGTTTGGAAGCTCTGCATGCTGTAATTAAGAGCTTGTTAAGCTGTAACCAAGTTGCTGTGTTGGTTGGATGCAGCTTGTGTGTTATTAGCCAGCTACAGCTCTAAGTGTCTGTTCACATTTGGCACTGAAACATGCGTTGGGTGATCACATCACAGGTGGACAGCAGTAGAGAAGTGTCTTCAAGTGTGAATGCAGCCACTTGAAGACACATTGAGGTCCTTTCACCCGTGCCACATTTAGCAGTAGTCAGGTTTGTATGCAGTATGCATCTGTGAATGCATTGAAGGAAAACATAGTATACTTTTTGCCTGTGTGTATACTAATGCTGAAATAATTAGCTAATTAATCGATAAGTCAGCCAATCAATTCATTTAATTAGTTTTTCAGGTAAATTAAATTACTGGTTCCAAACCTTTGCTGGTTCTAGCCTCTCAAATGTGAGCACTTGATGCTTTTCTTCCTCAAATGGTCAAAGTGTCAAAAAGTAATCTGAATATCTTTTGGTGTCTGGATAGTTGATGGGATAAATGTATATTTTAAATGTATTGCGCTCTAGGAATTCATAACAGGCATTGTCACTATTTTTGGGCAATATTTTAAGAAAATTATTAATCGATTAATTAAGAAAATCAGCAAGTTAATTGATATTAAAGATAATTGTTCGTTGCATCGTCTTC